ATTGTTTGATATAGTTTAACTCTTTCTATTCCTTCTCATTATATTCATATCAATGCAAATTTTCATTTCAACAATTCATGCAATACATTATGTACTAATCTATGAGTGTATAATGCGTGATAAAATTATTATTTCGTGAAATTGCAAATGAACTTACACAATGAATGGCCACCCAATTCGGGTGGCAATCGTTCGATTGTTAACGGCCACTCCTCTTTGACCCACCGAACCAACTCCAAATAGTGGGGCATAAATGATAATACCCCCAAGACCTGCAGCAAATTGCTGCAGTACACTTTTCCGCGGCTCCCAAACTGCAAGTCGTCGCCCACCATCCTCGTCTCCGGATGACTCGGTACCCCTTCCCGCGCGCGCCTCCCGAAATTCTTCAACCTGGTGTCCCGGTCCAGTACCACGTCCTTCTTTCTTCCACTCCTACGTCTCCACCCGCTGCTTCTTCTCTCGCTGCTGTTTCTCGGCATTTTTTAGCTGAAGATGCCTCTCAATTAATCCTCCTCTCATCACTCAACACTTTTGCACAATCCCAATGCAGTTTCCATCAGATTCTGGCTACAGTTAACCACGTATGTTGTCATGTCTTACAGAGTCAATTATACTGAGGAAATCATTATATAACTTCAATGCGTCAGTCGTATTGCAACATCAACAACATCATCAGATGTCCTACTAGTATTGCAAGGGGTTGAGAATCGTGTGCAATATGAGCCGATAATGGACCGTAGGAGATGACTGTTGTAGAATCCGCTGACGGCGCGGTTTAGACCTAAGCGGTAGCAGAACTCATAAACTTGGATCCTCAGTTTCAGACGCTTTTTTGAGCAATTTGGTCATGATCATATGCATGCGCAATTTTTATCAAGTGATCAGAAACAATTGCAGACAGTACAGATTGAGGGCATTTTGCTAGCACTTTAATCGAGTTCTTATTTTGGCAGATTCATTTTCTTAGTGAAACCACGCCAAATAAACGAAATTACAGCAAATCGGAATACGAATGAACGCAATAAGATTTGAAACAGATACTCCATAGCTGAGATATTTATCCATAAGAAGATTGAAGTTATTCGAGAAATTAAGTAGTGGGACTGTTGATGAGTCCTTGAGTTTACATGAATTTATAAGACTGAACTCGTTTCGACTGTTTTCATTCACTACTAGGCAGTGGTGGGCAATAGCACGCTATTCGCTGTTCCGCTGTTAGAAGGGCTACCTCCTTCGGTTGTGCGATGGCACGCTATTTTTCCACTATAGCGAAAATTTGTAGCGATATCTTCGACTACAATAATTTCTGGCGGCATAAATTAGCGATAACTTTCGCTATCTTCTATTACATCATTAGCATTTCAGTGAGCTACTGTTTTTCAGATTACGGATACTTCGTTATTCTTTATCTGCAAGGGTGCGCTTAGGCATCTAGATATTCAATATCCGTGCGATGTCTATGCTTTTGCGAGTAAATTGATGTTCGTGGGTCAACATGACCTATACCTTAATATATGTTTTAATTTACATTTGTAGGCCAGATCTGAGGTCGGCGAGCCACAGGGAAATACTTCCGAACAGCTGGACCGGAAGGCCGATTTGATTTACCAACATATAGTTCGAAGATTTACCAAAGTTTCGAAACAGACCATGTTTATATCATCATGTGGAACACGGATAACTACGTTCGAATCTATTTTCCAATTTTGGTGATGAGTTCTAGAGGGAGGATAAAGATCAAACAACGAGTAAAGATACCCTGCACATATCTATTTCTCCTGCAGTTTCGAAATACACCTAGTTTTGATATATATAATCAATTTTGGTATAAATAAAATAACCTTAAAAGATAATCAGAAATGTGCAATTCGTTCATGATATCAGTCTCACAAAGCGTCAACAGCTGAAATATCTACTTGTAGATACATTACTTCAGAGCACGACTTCCTCCCTTCATCATTCGCATCAGAGTTCTACAGACTCGAAAAATAGATTCAAAATCAGCTGCTTTACTATAAGAATATTACGAGCTCCACATTCAAGATATAATGGCAGTCATTCTTCCTAACAACATGATGCTATAAGCGGATAAAGAAGGTTCTATACCATCGGAAAACTTTATGCGATCCTGATAAATTTTGCTTTCTTTGAGATCGTTATTTATTTAATGGAAGGATGAAAAGATCTGATAGCCTAATCAAACCAGGTATTTCTCACCAGAGTTTCGATTTTTAACTTGAAAGGTCTTTAAAGTACGGTCATAAAAGATCGATCATTTTTGCTATGTTTTCAATCAGTAGTATATTAATCGAACCTCGTCACCTCATTATCGCAATGTATATCTTATGTGAAGCAGTTCTAAATATTATCGCAAGATCAGTACAGGTGATATGTTCATGAGCAATGGGAAAGAGATATGAATGGGAATGGAGTTCCCATATAGGCAGGGAATTTGTTTACTTCAAAATGATATTGTGAATTATGCCAGTAAAAATATTGGGTGATTCAATAGATTGGAATGAGTCACGTGTTCATCTTCAAGCAAAACGCATCAACAGAAAACGCGCAAGAAATATTGAGTTGCTTGGAGTCAGAAAATAAATCAACAAAGGCCCGAAAAGTTACGATTACGATCGAGCATCGCTGAATATTGTAATTTGATGATGTTGCAGAGCTGCATAATGCAACAGAATATGTACGAATTTTTATGAGATTATTTGCAATATGAATGATATATCAGTTGAATAAATCAATATGTAAGACGGACGATATCATGATAGGAGCATGTCAAGAGTGCAATATATTGTACAGATTACAATGTAATGGAATATGAAATGCAATGTAATGAATTCAAAATTGAAATTGTTCAAGAAATGAGTACAAAAAATAATGAAATGATAACTATTAAAACTTACATCTTATAAATATATTCGGTCGAAAGTTTGTTGTGCTGCTTTAAATTTTCAAAATTCTCCAAAAAACTGAAAGTCATCGAATTAGTATTGTGAATTGAAAAAGAATATTGCAATTTTAAAAAATCCGGAAAGAATTCAATTATCGATGAATCTCTGAGAGGTTTCAGAATGAAAAGTGCGAAAAGTGTTTTGGGTACCCAAAAATTTGAGAATAGAGAATATTGAAGTGCAATTTGAATGTGTCCCGTTGAATCTGGAAATTATATTCGGAGAAAAGAAGATAGATATAAGATAAACAAATGCGAATAATTGAAAAGTAAAACATACTGGAGATTTTGATTATTCGATTGAGTCGCACCCAAAATAGCTCTGTTCGTTTTGTGGTGTGGTCAGCACCGATGATTTTACTGAAATTCAATGGGTCAAGATAAATAAGGCGAGTTCTCATTGAGCGCTGTTTTGGAACGAATCAGGATAGCGATTTGTATGTCTCCACGAGGAGAATACAGCCACAGGTAAGACTGATTATCGATCAAGCGAAGTGACACAAAAATTAAGCAATGAGATTTCGATTCACTCTAATCAACAGACAATCCTCCTTAATATTGCTGTTCAGTGCTACTATAATATTGAAACATGACAACACATCGTACGAGTGCAAATAGCATCATCAATAAAAGTAATCGTTTTGGTCACATATAATAATTAACAACTTCATTGAAAGTAATTCGGAGAAATGTTGATATTATCATTGAATAAGGGTTATGATTGGACACGCACGCATTTCATACATTAAAATCTCAAAAATTACACAAACCGACTGAAAATCGCACGGCAAAGCAATCCTTTATGAGAGACTGTGTTGGCTGAATTAACGACATTTTGTTAAATTGAAGGATTAGATCGGTTTTACGACTCATGGAATTATTACCATGAGGATAAATAGCCCATCGAAGTAGTGATGCTTGAAAGAGGCGCAATTATTCAAGCAATTTTTGTGTAAATATACGGCATATTAGGCTACTGATACACATCTTCTGACAAATTTAGTTGGCGGTAGCGAGACGTTTATGATAGAATTTATTATCTTTGTTTTTTATTTTATTTTTTCAATTGTTTTTTTTTATTTTTTCAATTCAATTATCTTTATTTTTCAATTCGTCGTCTCAAAAATTCATTATATGAACCCTCCTGTATATTGGCTAAAGCAAATCATCGCAAAATCATTTGGGCATTGGATTGATATCGAACGTTTAACTAGAACTTCTTAATGAATATTGACCAAATGAAAATTCCAAATAAATATTCAGTAATTCGATGCAACAATGGTTTTGTTATCATATTCAATGCAGTTGATTTCAAACACATTTAGAGATTCGAAATCAGAAAAGTGATTACTAATGAAACGCCAATAATCCTTTATGAAGTATTCAAGAACATAGTGGAATGAGAATTAGCAAGATGAAGTGTACAATAGTGTTGATGCGAATGATAATGTTGACGAAGAGGAGAATGAGTGAGAAAGAATTGACCAATCACGTTGTCGATGAAGTGAGAAAGAATTGACCAATCACGTTGTTGATCTCTATGTACAACCAACGCAGTTCAGATGGTCACGTACCCATACAAAATTCAGTCAGCAGATCAAAGCGTCGAGAATCACTCGCAAATGACGTTTATTTTTTTTTGATGTGTATATGCCAGTTGCGTGGTCATCCTTCGACTATAAACTATAAACATAACTGTGAGGTCTGTAACTGCATTCGTGAATCTGAATGTTGTTATTATTGGAAGATGGATACATTCTCAAAGGTGAGACGAAATGATTAGGCGAATGAACATTCTTTTAAGAAAATTCAATTGAAAGAATGACAGCTCTCGAAACGAACACAACATATGTCGTCGTGCTCATTATCAGGTGGTCTGCAGCGTCCTAATATTCTACCATATCCATGTTATAGAAGAAGAATCTTAGTTCAAGTACAATATCTGAGTTGGAGATGAAATTTTGAATTTCTTGAGATATAGTCGTCTATAAGAATCATATCTTGAATTCAATTATCATAGTACTATTGGCTAGGATATCACACATGTCATATTCAGATGTTCGTATGCACATATCTGGACATATCCTGACATCACCTCATATTCATCTTCTGTTAGAAGAGAGGATCTCTAGTTCACTAATTGTAGGACGAAGATTTCGGTTTCTTGAGATACTGCCACGTATAATAATCGCATTGTACTATATGGGAGCGTGTGCATAATGAATGTCACATCACGATTAAGCTATTCGTAAACTCTGATCTTATCAGCATCGCGATATTCCAACTTATATACCTCATTAACTCTTAGTTTGAGGAAATTATATACGTTGTTGGAAGAAAGCTTCAGCAAAGCCTTCTATTAGAATCATACCCTCATCTGCATGATAACCGCAATACTTAACATCTACATGTCATGTAAGGCAGAATCTGAGCCAGCAGAACTTCTCAACATCAGAACATACTGATCTTACAGAAGATGACTTCTAGTTCACTAAAAACGTGAACGTTCTCGGAAATGAGGAGATAGCTTTAATAAAATAGCTATATCTCCCCGACTAAGCAGAATCGCCCGACAAAATATATATCTTTCTGAATTCAAAGATTCTGCTCGATCGATTGGTCTGAAGAAATTGATATGTTACTGGTCAAAGCTGAGAGTATGGTAGGCTTGAATGTGGCAAATCCTATAGCATTTGAAAAATAGCTATATCTCCACGCAGAGCCATGATTTCTCGGCGGAGTTTTCATTTTTGAAAAGCAGAGATTCTGTTGGATCGAATGATGTGTAAAAGTTTACATGTTGCTGGCAAAGCTGAGAAGACGGTTGGCTTGAATATAGATATAGCTATTTTCTCAATTCTATACGGTTTTCTATCTTCCAGCCTACCGTTTTCTCAAGTTTGCCCAGTAACATGTAAATTTTTCTGCTCCATTCGATCCATATGAATGTCCTCATTCAGAAAAAAATTTACTTGGTCGAGCAATTCTGCTTTCTTGAGAAGATATGGCTATTTTGGTAAAGCTATATGAATAACAAGCGCAAAGTCGCTCATTCACGTACATTCTATCACCGTAGATCAATATCAACACAATACTATTGCTCTATAAAGGTTACCATCATTACCACCTTCAAGATACCCGTACTCTCAAGTTTGCCTAGAAACATGTAAATTTTTGTGCACCATTCGATTGTTCAGAATCTTTACGATCAGAATATCATATATTTTACCCAGAAATTTTGATTAAATGATTAGATATAGCTATTTTCTCAATTCTATATGGTTTTCTATCTTCGAGCCTACCGTTTTCTCAAGTTTGCCCAGTAACGTATGAATTTTTGTGCTCCATCCGATCCATCTGAATGTCTACATTCAGAAAAATATATATTTGGTTGAACAATTCCGCTTTCTTGAGAAGATGTGGCTATTTTTCCAATGCTATACGGTTTTCCATCTTCGAGCCTACCGTAATCTTTGTTCATATACTACTGATCATTGTGGATAAATATATGCATTGTTCTAGCGCTAACGAGGATACCACGTTCAAGGTACCCGTACTCTCAAGTTTGCCCGTTAACTTATGAATTTCTTTGCAGCATTCGATGGCTCATAACATCTACGTTCAGAATATCATATATTTTGCCGGGAATTTTCGATTAGATGAGGAGATATAGCTATTTTCTCAATTCTGTACGCTTTGCCATCTTCGATCCTACCGTATTCTCAAGTTTGCCCAGTAACATGTGAATTTTTGTGCATCATTCCATCCAACTGAATGTCTACATTCAGAAAAACATATATTTGGTTGAACAATTCCACTTTTTTAAGAAGATATTGGTATTATCGTAAAGCTATATCAATAACAAGCGCAAAGTCGATCAATCACATACATTCTATCACTATAGATCAATATCAACACATTACGATTGCTCCATAGAGGTTACCATCTTTACCACCTTCAATGTAC